CAAATACCTAGGTGTTCCTCTTGTATGCAAGAGACTAACCTACCTGGATTGCAACCCTCTTCTAAGTAAAATCTCCAACCAATTTTAAAATAGTCTGATGAACAAAAATCGGTCGTATTGTGGAAGATTACAAGTGATAAAAAGTATAATTCTGGGAATTCAAATTTATTGGACTTCTAAATATGTTCTACCAGTGAAAGTACTGCAAAAAGTGGATGAACTCTGTAGGAATTTCCTCTGGGGTAAGAAAGATCATGCTTTGAAGCACTCACTGGTTTCATGGGATAGAGTATGTACAAGTAAAATGTATGGTGGCTTGGGAATTTTCTCTTCAACTATTTAGAACTTAGCAGCAGCTTTGAAGATATTGTGGGATATACATATCAATAAAGAGCTTCTATGGATCAAGTGGATTCATGGCACTTATCTAAAGTACATGAATATATGGCAGGTGGAAATAAAAGTTTGTGATTCTTGGATGTGGAAACAGTTACTTAAAGCCAGGAATAAAGCCATAGCTCAGTGTGAGGATTGGATAATCTGAAAAATCTAATCAAATCATGTTACAGGAACTCAAAAATCAAGTTGTCAGACTTATGTCATGCTCTATCTCCTGCTACTATATATTGAAGTGCCATCTTAATATTTGGGGGGTTTTAATCATCCTAAACACTCTTTTATCTCATGGTTAGCAATCCAAGATAGGCTCCTAACTTAGGATAAACTGCTCCAGAGAGGAATTATTCAAGCAAATCAATGCTTTTTATGCTCGGGAGCAGAAACTGAAAATTGTAGTCACCTGTTCTTTGAATGCAAATTCTCTAAAGAAGTTTGGAATGAAATAATGGATTGACTCTGTTTCAGGTGGAGAAGATGTGATTTGAACTAATTGTTGAATTGGTATAGTTGCAATTTAAGGGGAAAATGATTCAAGCACAAAGTTAAAAGAATGGCTCTTACATCCACTATCAATAACATTTGGATTGAGCGAAATGAGAGGATTTTCAAACAAAAAAACTGAGAAATTATGCAAGTTATCAAAATCATCAAGGTGGACCTGATGACTGCTATTCTAAATAGTGATGTGGCTGCTGAGAACAAAGATTGGATACTATCCTTAGAGTTCTCAAAAGTTTTACAGGTTTATTTAACTGCTGTAGTTGCAGTGATTTGCCTGCGTTAGTGGGATTCTCAACTTGCATCTCTGCTCATATTTGTAAAGCTCTGTATATATGAGTTCTTTTGAGCTTTTGTTCATTTTTGATATCTCATATAAATGATGAGATGCTTGATGTACATACTAACTTCATATTGGTGATGAATAAAAATTTTCATTTACCAAAAAGGGGTTTTGTAAAATTTATCCTTAAATAAAGAGAGTGATGTTTGAATCCGGAGTGTCAAAAACTCGCTAAAAGAAGTCGGTTAGCATTAGTTAGTGGATATAGTACGGGGAAAAGGATCATGTTCATTTGAAAAGGGTCACAATTTATATCATCAGCGAAAAGAAGTCGAGAGAATGGGTTAATCGACACGAAGGATTATACCATCTATGTAGTAGGTGGTAAGTGTTACATGAGTTGTGATGTTCAATTAAAAAATATATATACATTAGAAATCATATCATACTCTTTTTAAAAGCACGAGTTCAGAAAAAACTTTTCATGGTCAATATTACCCTTCATTATTTTGGATATTTTATTTAAATCTTAATTTTTTAAATTTTCACCATATCTTATCTAAGTCCACGTAAACTATCTATAGCTCAACAATTTAACAAAATTTATTTTAAATATTTTATTTAAATCTTAATCTATTCCAATGCTAATTATATCTTATATTAACTCCATATTAACTACCTATAACTCAACAATTAAGATAAAGAAATTATGCGTGGATAACATATTATAATACATGAAGTATTACAAAACACCTAAAAGTTTAAAAAATTGCATATAATAGCCTTAAAAGTTTAAAATTACACAAAACACCTTGATTTTTTAAAACTTAAAAACAAACATGAAATCTAAAATTTTAAAATTTATAATTAACACCCTCAACATTTTAAAAATTATAGAAACAACCTTAAAAGTTTAAATTACAAAATAACACCCTAAAACTTAGAGATTTTAAAACTTAGCAACAACATAGATGAATTCCAAGGATTACCATTAAGCACTTAAAAATTTAAAATTTGTAAAAAATAACCTCAAAGTTATAAAAATTATAAAAACTCTCTCAAAAGTAAAAAATTACAAAAAATCTTGAAATTGTAAAACTTATAACCGGTACACATCAAATTTAGAAATTATCAGTAGATCATTAAAAATTTAAATTTAAAAAAAAACTAAAAATTTTAGTAATTTTAAATATACCTTCAAATTTTCACAGTTATAAGAAATATTCTAACATTTGAAAACTTACCACCAACACATGAAACATGAATTATAAGCACCCAACTTATAATTTAAATTTTTTATAAAATACTATCAAAGTTTAAAAATTACAAAACACACCCTCAAAAGTTTAAAATTACAAAAAAGCTAAAATTTGGCAAAGAAAATAGGAAATGTTTGATATTATAACATAAAGATATATAAATTTAACTTTCAATTTAAAATACATCATCTCTTTTTAACATCTAAAAGTAGTCTAAGTTGATGTCAGTAAAAAATAGCAATTACCGTAGATTAAAACTATCTAGTTAAGGAATAAGACTTTAAAAATATATGATAGATTAAAAATTAACATTACTGTATAAATTCAAGGAACTGCATATAATTTTAATAACAACACTCATTGATAGAAGACAAATTAATAAAATACTATAATGTAATAGGTTAGCATTAACTGATTATAATGTATAAACATTTATCTCCAATGTTGATAATATTTATAGGGTAAAAAAATACAATGAGTTATGTATGGAGAAACTATCAGAAAATTCAGAGATATCATTTAAAAGAACTAAGTTGTTTTCATTTCAAATGGAGAAGTAAAAAAAATAAACTCAAAATTCGGAAACATTCATGAATCACCTGAATTAACATTGATAAAAGGAAAATCTGACAAAGAAGCACTGACTGAGTTCCTCTTGAAGAACATATTAAACAATTTTGTCCTAATTAAAAAAAACATTCTTCATGAAAGACACACGAAAAATTAGTAAGTATTTATAAATTTTCATACTTTATTCTTGAAATACTAAAGGAATCATAAACTTAATATAAAATTACATATAAATAATATTGCAATAGAAACTAAAGTGAAGCAATTGATCAACTATATTGCGAGATATAATAAGCTATAGATAAGATGAGGAAAATCACTATAATTGACAAAAAGTATGCACATGATACTTAGTTACCATATTGTAAGTAAAAAAAAGTTAAAAATTGATATTTTTTTTCCCTATATAGTGGCATGACTCTGCAAGTAATCTTATTTGGTGATATGACTACCAACGAAGGATCAATTTTTAGGGGCACGATCAAAGCTAAGCATATAATAATACTGTCAGATTTTAAGATCTTTAAGTATGAAGGTAATATATTTTACAACTAAAATTCCACGTATAATTTTTATGTGACGGTTGATATATGTTCACCTCTCAATTGATATTGGAAATAAATTTATCCTATACGGGTGGTAAGCATACCATGGTGAATATAGTCATGGTTTTTTTTTTTTTTTTATTTGAACCAAACACTAGAAAGTGAAGAAATCTATTCACACATCAATTGTTTTTTTTCTTTTTTTAAGTTGAACCAAACTAAGAAAAGTGGTGGAAAATACATTCAGCCCATATTTTTTGGCGAAACAAACAAAAAAAAAACAATTTCCATGAAAGTGAAGGAAACATAAAAACATGAAGGAAAGTGGTTTTTAAAAAAATAAAGTAAACGAACCAAACATACCCTTAACAGAATTGGGCTAAGGGCCTACGGCCCTGTTTTCCTTAAATTGGTTAAGCATGCAAACTTTCTGTTACAAAATTAAATTATTATGAAATTAGTCCCTTCAATTGAGAGTTAAAACGTCAATTAGGGAGAAATTAGTCACTCATATCATCTGAACTTGCGTTAGTTCCACCACCTATTCTCATAAGTCATTCTAAACTGATCGTTTAATCGCTAATTCTAGTATTGATCCGACATCCGAGGGACTAATTTGGTAATAGATTAAGAACTGTGGGGGACCTAATAGCAATTTATAGATGCGAGGGACTAAGTTTGAAATGGTTTAAGAATTGGCCAGCAGAAATCCTGTTTTAATAGAATATCACGAGTATTGCACGTGCACCGACGCCCCCCAGCTTTCCCACGCATTCAAAAAACGCGATCCCAAAATCCCCCGGATCCAATTCCTCGAGCCCCCCACGCCCACCTCCGAGATCTCCTCCGCATCAATGGCGGCCGCCTCAACACCAACCCGCTCTCCTCCCAATCTCCAACCCCTCCGACTCCTCCTCCGCCTCCGCCGCCGTCAACGCCGCCTCCTCCCGCCTCTTCCTCCACCGCCTCTCTCCTGATCCGCTCCTCCTTCTCCCGCGCCCGCCGTGGCTACGCAGCTCGTCGACCGCTCCGCCTTCTCCCGGCCCGACTCCCTCGCCGGCTCGCCTCTCTCCGCGTCAAGTCCAACCTCTCCTACTTCCGCTACCAACTACGCCATCCTCCTGTCCCTACCCTAGCTTTCTCTCTCCTCTCCCACCCTTTCTCTCTCCTCCTCATCCTCTCTCTCCTCGCCGCCTGGTGCTCTCTCTACTCTTCCGGCCCTCGGATCCCGCCGCTCGTCCTCTTCGGCGCCAGTTCTCCGAGCCGTGAAACCCTTGGGGGCATTGTTTCTTGCTGAGCGTGATCGTGTTGCTTTATGACTTGGTTGGATTCTGCTGGCTGATCTCGGCGTGATGGTCGCGCCCGGGATCGTTTGGCCTTCCATGCGAGGGCCGTTTAGGGTTCCGGCAGGACCTGTTCTTGATTGACAGGGAGGCTGCGTTGGGAAGCTTCCGGCGGGCTTCTATTCGTTCTCGGCGGAGGCGGGCGCCGGGTTCTGGCATTAGGGTCTGATGCGGGTCTGGAGTTGGTTAGTGCTTAATTTGGTTTATTTTGTTTGGAAGTCTATGAATTTGTTTAATTTGGAGAATTTTTTAACTCTATTTCTTTTTTACGATGTTGATGAAATATGTAATTTTATGATTTAAATTTGACTGCGGGGCGATTGCAGTAATATTGTACTGAAAGCTGATCGGAGCTGGCTGCTTTTTCTTTGAATTTTTTTTGCAAACTGTCACTTTGTTTTCCGTTTAACTTATTAATAGTTTAATTGTCTTGAGTATAATTGTCAGGCTTTTCTCATTCAAGTTTTTTTTATTATCTTTTTCCCCTTTGATGTTTGAAGTATGATGAAGAACTTCATATGGTGTTTGATGCTAGTTGAATGTAGTACGTATGTAGCTCTAAACTTTTAGGTACAATAAGATTTATCTTACCAAACGGTGTAAATTTTGCTGGGGTTGTGTCTCCTATATTGTTTAGATGAAGTTGGTTTGCCAGTTTTCTAGGATTTGCGCGTAGTTGCGTTGGTTGGATCTGAGAATCGTTCAAGCTTTTGGGCCATTTGAACATCGCTTAGTTGTGTGGCTTACCACTAGCTATGGATAGTGTTAGTGCTTCGTTGTATAGGTCTCTCGTGTAGTTCAATCGCACCGCTGTGGATCTCTCCTACAATCCCATAAAGGTGTAGGAGCTGCACGTTCGGTATCTCTTGTGCGCGGAAAGAGGAATAGAAGAATGAGATCATGAGACAGATGGCGACAAATGTTAAGGGAAACCACATAAACTCGTTAGATACCGATTAATAAGGGAGAAATTGGTTGGAGAACCCATATAAGCTTGTGTTCTTGATTGTTTTCATTCCACGTGCTCAGTCCTCGGTGCTTAACAAGTTGATATCACTGTATCACAACATAGAGAGTTTGTAGGCGTAAACCAATTAGGAGAATTAGTTCAAATTTGAGAAGACGCTCGATAGGTGGCTCCTTATAGAAGTAATCTCATAGACATTTTGATTTCGCAGTGTTTAGTATATTTTCTTTTGGAAAACTATGAATATTGTTTAATTGGCGAAGTTATCTATTTGTTCACGACGATGATTGAATATGTACGACTTTTGTTTAGGTTCAACCGTGGAACGATTGTGGTGGTATTGTATTGATGGTTGATAAGATCTGGCTGTTTTTTTCTTTGAAACTCGGTGAAATTCTGTTTGTTTTCCGTTTACAATAGCTCTAGTGTCTAGTTATAATTGTCATGACCTTTGCATTCAAAATTGACATCCCCCCGTTGATGTAAGTATCATCCCTCCCCACCCTTGATGTAAGTATGATAGAGAACTTCATATAGTGTGTGATGCTAGTTGAATGTAGAACATAATGCAGTTCTAGCTTTTAGGAAGAGTAAGATTTATCTTATGAAACTGTTCAAATTCTGTTGGAAAGGTGTTAATGTTTTGTTGTGTACCATTATAGATATCCTCTATGCGGTGTAAGAGGGGACACTTTCTTCTCTTTTGCTTGGAAAGAGTAATATGAGAATGAGATAATGACAGAGGCGGTAGAAGTGGGACTTTCGCAAATGCAAATGCTTGTTTTATTGATTGTTGTTTGGTGTGCTTAACGGTATGGTCTGACAGTGTTTTGTGACCGGAGGTTGGAATCTCGGTTATATATGACAGTTTTAACTTTCTATTATGTAGTAAATGATTTGCATGCATAACCAATTAGGGGAACAGATTCAAAATTCAGCCGATTCCCCGATCTTTTATTTGTTACGCAAGTTATCTCAAATATTTTGGCGGATTGATGATGCATTTCTTCATCCTACATGCAGGTGACTGAACTTTTTTGAGTATTCTGAGGATATCAGCAGTACCTTATTAAGCTCGGATACACCACACTTGTGCTTATTAATTTTAAGGAATCATTAAAATAATCCAAAGCTCTGTCTCCTAGAATGTTTACTTGTTGAATAAATGTAACATGTTATTCCAATCCAGATCATGAATGATGAACGTATCACAATATAAGAACAGTGTAGAATTATATTCACAATATAAGAACAGTGTAGTTTTATTATCTTTTATTCTCATGCCACTATTTGGATGACACGGTTTAGCAAAACCATGAACTCTTAACATTTTTTTATAACTTTAATTTTATTTTAATGCTGGAATAGTTTTAAGTGATTTGACTTATCTTTTTTGTATTTCGTTCGTGTTTGGTTTATCATCCCAAATTCCTTGTTGAATATAATCTCGCACGCACACAATTTCAATAATTAAATTGGCACACTGAATCTGAAGGAACACATAATCTAATCTAGTACTATTATAAAAGTGTGTTGGTATGTTAAAACATTTCTTCCAAAATGCCCTCCAAACCACATACATGTATCTATAAAACACATACTTGCATACATATAAACACATACATATACATGCATACATTCTTAATAATGGCATAACTCTCCTATTAATTGTCCACTAATATTAACTTTTATTTTTTGTGACCCCTCCACTAATCCAATATTAATGTTATCATAAAAAATTTGCATACATATAAACACATACATATACATGCATTCGTTCTTAATAATGGCATAACTCTCCTATTAATTGTTCACTAATATTAACTTCTATTTTTTGTAACCCCTCCAACTAATCCAATATTAATGTTATCATAATTTTTTTAAGATTGTAAGTTGTATTTGACATAATAGCTGAGAATTAAATGCACACACATATGGCAAATTAATAATATATGTTTCAATTTGCAAACAAAGTGTCAACTTAAAATGCTTACATGCATACATTCTTAATAATGACATAACTCTCATATTAATTGTTCACTAATATTAACTTTTATTTTTTGTAACCCCTCAAATTAAAAGGCACATGTGACAAACTAATAATATAAGTTTCAATTTGCAAACAAAGTGTCAACTTAATATGCCATTAGTGCATGCATTCATGCATACTTGAAATGAGAGTTACATTTTCAATTGTAGTTTTTATTCAAGTGGCAATTACATTTGACTGTTACGGAATCCAAAGAGCTTGCTTTTTTTTATTTATCATAATAGCTCTTACTTGCAACCTATATAAATTCACTCATTTGATGATTTAGATTTACACTCACCTCTTACAACCCTAACAACATCCTATACTCACCCTATGACTTGACTATGATATTATTTGGATGATACAAGCTCGTCAGTGAAAACATTATCCATTCAGAAGAGATAACAAGAAAAAGGGGGTGAAGACGATTGAAGTTGTGCTGAGGAAGTACTGAGCTTTACTCGGATTATACTTTATACTAGGTGAAAGTGAGAATTTTATTTTGTTATAATGGATTAGCAAAAATAAAGATAATTAATATAAACTGGAATAGCATGACACACTTAACATAAAAGTAAAGAACAAACTTAGAATTTTTATCTTTTGGGTAAATTTTTTTATATAATAAGTATATTATAACCTCTCTAATGTTAAAATTATATTCTAAATTTGCACATAAAACTACCAGTAGTTATTAAATGTTATTCATTATCTTAAATTATAAAGTAAATAGAACTATATCTTTTAAGATTAAAAAATTATATCTTTTGGGTATTCCATGATTTGACAATGTTCACAAAATAACCCTGAATTTTTTCACAAACAACCATGGATCTTCATAATTTTCACCAAGACCATTGAAATTTCATATATTTATAGAAAAATACTGAAACTTCATAATTTTTTTACAGATAAACCCATATATAGTTCAAAACTTAAATCTTAAGAAGATTGAAAGAAGTATATGATCTAAATTATAAGAAAATTACAAATAAGTCCTCAAACGTTATTATAATTACATTCAAAATAAAACTCTTCCATTAATTAAATAATGAATTGTGTAAAGCATTAGAACATAAAAAAATATGTCCACGTGCAACACACGTGCACTATACTAGTACTATTATAAAAGTGAATTGGGATGTTAAAACATTTCTTCCAAAAATACCATCTGAAACACATACATGCATACTCTCTAGGACATCCATACATGCATATATTAAGCTATATACATACTTAATTTTTCATAACCTCCCTATTTATTACCATCAAATTTTTATTTAACCACCCACTAATAACATCCACTCACTAAGTCTTGACATTACACACTAATAATAAAAAACGTTACACCTATTCCTCTTCCATAAATCACTATAAATTACTATAGAATCTTATCAAATTTCTCTAACCAAAATTCTAACTCTTAATCAAAATTTATTCAGATGGAAAAGTAAGGAGACACAACTGTAGCACTTACAAACCGTAAGAAGTGTGAGTGTGTTAATGGTAACATCACTGGTGGAGTACGATCGAATTGAATGAGAAGATGGTAATGGAAGCATCGATGTAACAATTTAGAGAGCAGAAAAGAAATCGGTGAAGGCGACAAAGAAGGTGGTCCTGAATTTTATTAAAATTTGTAATTGTTTCAGTCAAAAACTAATTGGTTTTCCTCCCTTCCTTCTTTGTATATGCTTTTCCCATAGCGTGTAAATTGGTTTCCAGCTCCTAGGCATGTTTGTAAATATGCTAAATTGTTTGTATAGTCTGATTGAATCTCTTAATGCACTATGCTTATTCTAGGGATAAAAGAAAGCTTTGCCCATGATAATGCATTATAAGTGTGATTGCTTTCACTCTATATGTGTAAAGGGTTAATTTTCGTTCTATGGTCACTAAGGTAATACATTGCTATTATTGGGTTATAAAGGACAAATAGAAAGTGCAGGAAGATGAATTTAGAAAATGATAATAGTTAGTTGGTCCTGAGGATGCTTATAGAAGGGATTACTACTATAATTTTAAGAGTATTATTAATTTTCTGCTATTAATTATTAGTTTTCTGCTATTAATCTACTATATGAGTATAATGACTAATGTATGATAATTATAATATATATTAATATCACATTAATATATAATATTTATATGAATTATTAAATATGTGCAATTATCAAAAATAATATGAGTAAAAAGTTATTCATTTACCAATTCAAATAAATAAATATATAATATACCATTTACAGTAATATAAAAAGTAGTCAACTTTTCATTATTCCACCGTCTTCTTAACCACGCTTCATTAAGGAACTCATTCATGAAGGGTTACCCATTTCTCCATTAAGCATTTGTAAATTGTATCATTATAACAAATATGAAAAATTGTACATAATTCCCTCTTTTATATCTTGAGTTGCACTATAGGCGTCTAAAATTGCCTACGGGCCTTCACACGCAACTTGAAGCACAGAGAAGATGATGAATGTTACCATCCGAGTTATAGAAGCTCAATTGATGTTGACAAGTGCATGAAGTGAGTCGACGAACTATGTGAAGCAACGGAACTGCAGAACAACAAGGAAACAAACTGATCGGGAGCTACGCTTCGCTTACAAAAGATGAAGCGCCCCTCAGGTACCGTTTACTCCACATGTGATTCAATTATTAAAGATCATAGATCTCCTCGTCGGATTTCCAATGCACTTTAAATCAGGCACTTCCGAGTTCGGACGATGAAGATACGATGGAAACGGACAGAGCGTGCAAAACTGCATTACGACCCAAGGGTGTCTCTGCCAGGCCGAGACACTCACAAGTGTCTCGGCCTTGCCGAGACACCCACGGGTGTCCGCAGCCCAAAAATGCTGATTTGACGGTTTTAACCTGTTTTTCAACCGTTAACCACCCGGATTTATTTCAACTGATCTGACATCATCCGAGAATGTGATAAAGTGATTATAACTGAGGATAAGATCAAATCGGTCGTTCTTATCCGAAAACGGAGGTCCCAAGGCCTATAAATACAACACCAGGGCCTTTATTTTTCCAGATTTAGAATTCTCGAGCGTTGGCGAAGCCCTGCTGAATTGAAGACTGAAGGTACACGAATTTTAGAAGAGAGGAGGAGATCAGATCAAGTTCATCGGTATAAAAAAGAGAAACTCGTCAGATCTATACTTCCCAACCCTCTGCTTTGAGATTACCCCATTGCGGTAATATCGAGAAGAATGATTATCTCGCTGTTGCCGAGATAATTGCTTTGATTTTTTTGATTCCTTCGCGAATCAACGAAGCTCTGGATCTGATCTGATCGTTTGGTGGTCCACAAAAAGTAACGTTCTCGTCACAGGCCAAGATCCCACGCAAGCAGCGGGCGATAAGCACCCGTTGCACTGTTTGACGAGAGTTGTACTTTTTTTGTTTTTATTATGTAAGGGTCTTATAAAAAGACTAACTTTTGTTTTCATTGTAACGTTTGAAGTTGTAATAAACACAATAATAAATACATCAACTTTCTCCCCAAACAAGCTGGCGACCACAGTGGGAGCCAACATCTTTGCTGCCGAAGCTGCCGTGCCGTAACCATTGATCAATATCCTCGTGAATGAAGAAGTCGAATATGAATTCGACCAGTAAAAATTCGAAGAGTATATCTCTTCTTCCTCCTCTAGATATTCCTCTCCTCGCAAGCGCAGGAAAGCCTCCTCTTCCGGAAAAGCTCACTGGATTTTAGGCTCAAAGATCCAAGATCCTCTCGCCGCCGTTACACTTGCACCTCACGACTCCCCTCCAACGTCCAACGAGGTCAAAGCTGTAGATCTGAGCCTCCCTTCCATCAAAAGTTTAGCCGTTGAAGGCGTGCCGACTCTGTCAAAGAGAGCACGCCAAAGGCAACGCCAACGCCTTGCGCGTCAACTTGCTAAGGCTTTGAAGCCAATGGACGGGATCCGCTATGATGCGGATCTAAAATCCAGAAATCACCAAGAACAACAACGGCGATCGAACAACCCCTCCTCTAAAGCAAAAAAGAATTAATAGGTTCATGTCAAACGGAAACGTTTCACTCTTGAGGAGCGCATTCAGAAGCATCGCGCACTTCTTTCACACGCCCGGATCCTTGTGCATAAAGCAAAAGAATTACAAAAAGAAGATGTGTTCAAAAGTCCACCAAGATCTAAGCAGGTTTGGGTACCGAAAGCCAAGTCAACGCTTCTACCCGACAAGAGACACCAGTCG